TTTATACTGTCACTTGTGCAGCAGTCAAACAGCAGGGATTTCATTTTTCAATTTTTGAGTCATGTGAGAAGGGCTTCTGTGTTTTCCCAGCTGATGCTTTGGGACTGTCACTGCTCATTTCTCACTACCTGTAGAGCAAACTTTGTCTGGTCTGTGTTAGTGTTATCACTGTCTACTGGCTGACATTTCCCACTGAAATATGTGTCATGTTAGCGAGCCAGAGCTGACAGATGACTATTAAAGGTGGCATGTGGTTAAAAAAATGCAACATTTTAGAATAGGCAGGATGAATGTTGAATACACATTTAACTTTAAAAAGCAAGTTTACTTGTTTTCAGACAGTTGTTTTATTACTAAATACTGAATATGTCCACATGTAAGCTATCATGAAACTGTAGCTAAGAGTTTTCTACCTCCCTGCTGCTTGTGCATCCTTGATTGTTTATAAACAGGAAACCTGTCTATTGAACTCCAAAATAACATCCTGGCGCTGCCGTACCACGATTCAACACTTAAAAGTTGCCCAGCAGCATAACCTGTGCTGTTTGAGAAAGGTACAAGCAAATGTGATGTGACAATCTGGAGATCAATTGTACTTGTGTAATTCCCTCGGAAAACAGGAGGAAAGTTGTTTGGTACTCCGAATGGAAATTGATTACTTTGTTGTGTGGGGGCTAAAGTGGAAACAGGAAAGAATAACTGACTAATCAGAACTCATTCATTTATTTTTCATGAATTTTTCATACTGCAGTGTTTCCTCTACATTCATTTAGTAGTGGTGGCCCGCCACTGCTAAATCATAGCCGCCATGCCTTTAAATTTCTTTTTTTTTTTATTGTCACAAATGCACCACCGCCACATCTCTCCACCTTCACAGCACAGCCTGGGTGATGATGAGCACAACAGCGGGGGGAGGGGAGGAGAGGGGAGGGAGGGAGTGGGGTGGCTAATATTGGAGTTAATTACTCGCGAGAGCGCGGCCTTGAAAGTGACGTCACGTCAGGCACCAGGTCAGAGTCAGAGAAGTGTAATCGTGAGGAATAAGGCAGCGAACTACCGGAGAAAAGGTAGACTTATTAGCCAACTCAGTGACGCTAACTTGGGTAAACTAATTGATAGCATTAAGCTAATATCTACACGTCATTATGTATTAACTGCTGACTGCATTTTCAGATGAGCTTGTTCAGATACTTCTCTAAGAAGAGAAAGACAACAGATGAAGAAGACGCTAGTCAGGTAGCCTATCATAAGCCTTTTACTGACTCCTAAATGATGATGGTTAGGTATAAAATAATATTTGAATGTTCACACTTATAATCAGATGTGATGTGAGTGTAAACTATATAACGCTGAAAATCAAGTGCTCTGAGCCTGGGTGCAAACTACAGCCCCATCTAGCTGATCTTTATATGTTTATTATTTTTATTTATTTAATGTTATTGTTTTATTTATTTTTTTACTTTTTACATTTTCAACTGGTTAGAGTTGAAGTAACATTTATTTTTCACAAACCAAAGGTATTTATTTTTCTTGACATTGTATATGGCTGAGATATATATTGTAAAAGTTCAATGGTAGCGATAAAAGCATATTCAACTGGCCAGCCAATAAATAGGTTTTGAAAGTAAATGGGGTACACCGTGGATAGGGCTAACATATAAAGACAAACAACCATTCACGCCTACGGTCAATTTAGAGCTGCCCATTAACCTATAAGGCAAGTTCGAACCCAGAACCCTCTTGCTGTGAGGCGACAGCGCTAACCACTGCACCACCGTGCTTCCAGAGCTGAGTATGTAATTTACAGGTTTAGAGGCTGTTTAAAGGCAGGTTTGAAGGAGTGTCGACTACTTGTAGCACTAAGCTACGAAGTGATAAAGAGTGATTGATTGATTTCTTAGTGTCTTGGGTAACAAGATACACAGTCTTGCCAATGGTCGACTGTCATGAGGAGTTGTTAGCGGTAATGGACCAAGAATTGTATCAATGTGCCATCAAGGATAAGGAAGATGAGAAGAGCTCTGGCTAGCCGGCATGGAACGTCAACAATGTGGATTTGAAATTCTTTTTTTAAAGTTATTTTTTTGGCTTTTCTAGGGAGAGACAGGAAAGAGAGAGAGAGAGAGAGAGAGGGAGAGAGACAGAGAGAGAGAGGACGACAAGCAGCAAAGGGCCACAGGCTGGACTCGAACCTGGGCCTCTGCGGTAGAGACTAAGCCTAAATGGTACGCGCTCTACCAGGTGAGCCACGGTTTGAAAGATTTATTTTGCATGTTTATTATGCCTCGACGATACACAGGTTGTTGTTTTGGTGAGAAACAGTGAAGGAAAATATAACTTTTTGTTTGTTTACATAAAAACTTCACAAGGCACCTTTAATGCTAGACATGTCTGCGATTGTCGGGCCCTTGGGAGGCAACAGAGAGCATGCCCCTTTGACTCCATATGTTTGAACAGGCTGTCACACTGGATTCAATATGAAAAAACTGAGCCCCGAAAATCTGTCTTTCATATCCTGCCTGATTGCCGTGAAGCTGCTCGTCTGGTTCGCTTCATGGACGGTGTGTGTTAAATGATGACAATGATCAAGACTCTTTTTAGCAGGTTTTAAAATAATGCTTCTTCCCATGCTGCCCAAAAATCAATGACCCTCCTTTTTTTGGCCAAAATGAGGAAGTAGAAAGATGAAAGTGAAACAGACAGACTGACAGATGGACAGACAGTCAGTCAGACAAGATTGAAAGCAGCATAGAGCAGAGAGCCTTAATATTTCAGATCTTATGCATTATTTATAGCCTGGGCGAGTCGGCTGAATATGCCAGAGTGCTCATGGGTGAATGGAGAGTTTTCGATTCAGCGCCACGTGTGTGCGTAGCCATGCGTGTGCGTAGCCATGCGTGTGTGTGTGTGTGTGTATACGTGTGTGTGTGTGTGTGTGATTGGCGAAGCAGTGGATGAAAGACAAAGATGAAAGCGGCAGCCTAGAGGCTCTAACTGCGAGATCCATCTGTTGATGGTGTGAAGCTCTGAAGTTACTTTAGCTCTCAGGTAGGCACCCTTGGTGGCCAGCAATCAGAGAAGTGTGTGTGTCTGCGTGTGTGTGTGTGTGTGTAAGTGAGTGTGTGTTTTCATAAAAATCAACGAGGTGGGGAAGTGATGCAGATGAGAGGTTTTTGGACAAACCACCTGCTAGCAGCAAAGTCATGAAGGCGTACCTCTTATTGACTGTGCAATATGCACACACACGTTCTCACACTTTGGGGCTGTAGAAAAAATATTTTGCTAATTTTTCACTTTTTCTAGAAGAAAGACACTCCTACATGTTATTAATATTATGCTTGATTGACAGGAAATTGCAACAACCTCTCCCACTACCTCAAATTAATATATTAATATTGGTAAATACAAAACTAAAGTGATAGTTGGCGTTATTTGACGTGGGGTAGTGCGAGGTACTTATCTATATTCAGTATATTACCTGCAGTAGATTCAGATCAGTGCTCTCCCAGGTTGAAGAAGCAGCAGAAGCACAGAAAAAGGCTAATATCAGTGTAAGTGTGTGCTTTATTTTGAATATTTTCACCACTTTATGTGGCTGTCAAACAGCCTTTTCCTTTGGGACTACATTTTTTAACCATTGAACTACAGTATTCCTGCGCTCAAGTGCACCTACACCTAGCTCTCTCTAACCTTAACACCTGATCTGCGGATTATTACAGTGCACGCATAGTTGCGGTTGTGCGTAGGAATGTAATCAAACGGTTCACAAACTGTAGTTCCAAAATTAGGGGCTGTTTGATGGCAAATAAAGCGTGAAAACATGCAACATAAAGCGCAGACTTCAGCTGATATTGGCTGTTTTCTGTGGCTATTTGTTTAAGTGGCTAAAACTTCTGCTTCTCTAAACTGAATCCAAATTGGATCCAAATCTATAATACACTGACTATGGATAATACCTCACACACACCTAACGTCAAATAACTCAAACTACAATGGAACAATCATTTTCACAGAGAACCAAAATATGGCAAGTATTAAACAGTGTGTCCTGTTTACTGAGTGTTCCAGCTGCACTATTTTTTGAACACAAACCCACTAAGTTAACAGTCATTACCATGTCACCAGTCAAACCTGGCACAAGCGCCAGGTCTGGGGACTAGTAAAAAAAAAAAGAAAAGAAAAGAAAGGAAGATAAAGGATGATAAGAAAAAGTTTTTTGCTGTCCCAAAAAGATCAGACTAGCCTCCCTCCATAGCTCGGCTCCCCCCTGTAATTTTTCCTACAGTCCCTTACAGGTGCCATAGCACATACACACAACTACAACTACACACACTTTCACACCACACGCAAACCTGTACACGTTGTTTAAACATCACTAACATACAGTCCGGTTTTTGCAAGGCTAAATGCACCTGTTTCATTTCCATTAAGTCCACGCGCCCGTCCATCACTGTTTGGGTCGATGCACTTCAGCTTCCTTGCACGGCCCCCTGCTCCCCTCCACCCTCCGCTGTGTTCTCCAGCTGTGAGGGGGCCGGCAGAGGCGAGCAGACCCCGCCCTCCTACCTTCCTCCTATTGGAGACTGTATGAGGACTACAGAATGGGCGGGTGGGGGGGGGTTGGTGTGTGTGTGTGTGTGTGTGTGTGTGTGTGTGTGTGTGTGTGTGTGTGTGTTGTGTGGGGCGGGGGGGTGCGCTGATTGTGACAGCTTTGCAGCGGCTGAGCGCAGCTTGACTCGCCGACTGTTCAGCGGGGACTCTCCTTCTTAGTGTTATTACCAGAAATACTCTCATTACGGGCAGGGTGAAGCAGTTGAAGCCTCGGGGGGATTTTTAGCAATGCCTCAGCCGGGACCTGAGCGCGCGGATGCGGTCTGACTCCACAGCATCGCGTCGGTGTGTAGTCACATTTGGACACATTTTTCTCGGAGTGAGTCTTCTCCTCAATCCACCTGCCTGCGCGCGCCGGGAACCATAGAAGCCCATGGAGGGATGTCGTGATGCTGTGCACAAGGAGAACTAAAACTTTGGTGTCGACATGCGTGATCCTGAGCGGCATGACCAACATTGTGTGCCTCCTGTACGTCGGCTGGATCACCAACTATGTGGCCAACGGCGGTCCCAAAGTTGCGGAGAGCGGCGGCGTCGGCGGCGAGGCGGAGAGAAAGTTGGAGGAGGACAGTAAAGGGGAAACCCTGAGGATTATCGAGCGGCTGGACCGGCTGGAGAGCGTCGTCAACGAGCACATCAAAGGTCAGCACAGCGGTGGTGTTCCTCTTCTTCACCTGCACAAGGCGGTGTTAGTCGGATTCACTGCCTGTAGTCTGAACCAGCCTCCAGAGAAAAGTGGGATTCATTATAATTTACTATAAATCGACTGCAGATCAGTTAACCACCTGAACCTCAGAATCTTTTCCAGTCAATTAGTTAAAATTCAATTTTAATAATGAATTAATCTTTAAAGACATTAACAAGCAAAAATGAACTGCCTCAGCCTCTTAAAAGTGAATTTGTAGCCTACAGTTTTTTTTTCTTCAGTTTTATAAAATTGTAAATTGAATCTGTTTAAGATTATTGGTCAGACACAACACGGGAAGTTGTGGCATTTTCCACAATTTTCTGACGTTTAATTGGATTGAACAATTAATCGGATAAATAATCAACAGATGAATAATTAAGATAACCATTAGTTGCAGCCCCTGTGAACCTGAATAGTCATATAATCAGTTTACTTTGTGATATTAGTTAAAATGTTCAATTAATTTAATTACATCTTCTCCTCTTCTCAGTGTATGTGACCTTTTGACATAACACTTTTGTTTAAGTTGCACCCTGGACCTTGGTTTCCAGGCTACCTGTGATGTCACAGATCATGTTCATAACAGGTTTATAAACTCAGATTTACAGCAACCACAAGGAAACGTCCCTCCTTCAGCAGATGAATGTGAAAACAGCCTGAACTCTGCAAATACTGTACAGAGGTCAAACATCCAAGTTAAGAAAAACAATAAGCAAAAAGTATTTTGCAGGGGTTCTGTAAAGAAATAACTTAACCACAAGCAGCTGAACACCCATTGAAATTTAGAGTAATATTACAAGGGACAAAGAAAACCAGTAAACCACATTTGAGAGGCAGGAACCAGAGAACTTTTGCTTAAAGGAGACCCTCACCCATCCTACACATCGGTGTTGGGGGGTACTATATGTGAAAAATGTTTTATAAAGCTTTTTGTTGCAACAGAATGAGCAGCACAAAATCTACAC